AGGTTGGGATGCTCTGTAGAAAAGATGACGGTGTTACGGGAATTAGTTCATCTGTATTGTCCGAAACGTATGTGAGTGGCCTTGAATTTATAATCGATTCACAGTCACAAAGCAGTGTCAGAAGTTCTTCATAATCGACGGTTTTCTTTCCTAGATTTCTTCTCAAAAGATCCTTGATCATTCTCACGATACGCTCCCACCATCCACTCCACCAGGGTGCTGAAAAGACGTTGAATTTCCAGGCGATTCGTTGAACTGATGAGTGTTTCAAAATTTCTTTCCAATCTAAGTTTTTCATTTGGTTATGGGCTCCCACGTAACTGGTTCCGTTATCGGAATAAATCACTGATACTCTTCCCCTTCTAGCAATAAATCATCTTAGTGCCTGTAGAAAAGCTTCAGTTGAAATAGACTGCAATAATTCAAAATGGCATGCTCGATAAACGCCACAAGGAAAAATAACTATCCAAGCCTTTTCACCATTTTTCAAATACAGAGGTCCTGCAAAATCTGTACCGGTTATCTCGAAAGCTGCGAAAGCTCAACTCTGTACCTTTTGCATACAACACACTTTGAAATAATATCTTTGACCATTCTTCTAGCCCCAATTATCCAAAATATCTCACGAATTGTTTGCAGAAGCACTTGCACTCCACAATGACGAGAAATAATGTGGTTTTATTCATTTAGTTTTCTCACAATGATATGTTTGTAAGGCAAAATAATGGGAAACTTGAAAGACTGGACATCTTCAGAAAAATAAAGTTTGGTTTTTACTCCAATTAATCCACTTGTATCCTTAAAAATATTGATATTGGATATTTCTACACGAGTTGTACTTCCAAAACTTTCATTTTAAATAATTTTAAATAAACAAATTTCCGCCTTAACAACTTCCTCATTCAACAACTCATCATGATGCATTTTCACTCTATGACATCTTTCAGAGAAACGAATCATCCATGCAACCATTCTGACTATTTTCGAATACTTGGAGAAATAATTGAATGAAGCAGAAGTCACATCGTTTTGGCTAACTAATTGTGAAAACATATTTCTTCTGCACTCCTCATATGCCTTTTCATCCGAAAATTGTTGATCTAATGCTGAACAAAACTGTATATCTTTATTGAGCCACTCAGGACCCTCCCACCATCTGGATTCTAATAGATGCTTACAACTACATCCTCGGGATGGGAGATCAGCGGCATTCATATCTCCCGGAATATGATTCCACTAATTAATATTTGTGCTTGCTCTTATTTCATTTACTCGATTCATAACAAAAGTGGTCCATGCGGGAACAACTGTAGAATCGTTCCAAAAATAAGAATTCAATGTTTTGAAATAATCAACCTAAATTACGAATTGATATAGCCTGCTTCCTATTAATGCTGCTAATAATTCAAATCGTGGTAAAGTGACATTTTTTTATGGGACTTACTCTCCATTTAGCTTGTAATAGATGACTGTGCATATTTCCATTTTCTTCTATACGTAGAAAAATGCAAGAGGCATACGCCAACTTACTTGTATCACAAAAAATATGCAATGCATTTCGCTGGGATTGATTCAGTTTGAATGGAGCACGTGGTATGCTACAGAAATGCAATAATTGGATTTCTTTGAGTATGATGCATCAAACACAGGTCTAATTTTTGTTGTGAAACTTGAATCTTCCATAACTGGATAATGCGGAATATAATGTATTTGTTCAATAATTTCTTTTTCCACTCCTTAAAAACTTGGTTATACTCCTGATATTTTGCTAAATCATTTAACCGTTCAGTAGTGGAAAAAAACCTACTCTCTGCAATTTCTCCATTATCTAATAATTTAGGGTGATTTCTTTTTCCTTTATATAAACTGGATCCCTTAGACCCCAAAACATCTAAACTCCACAAATCAGAAAGTGTACTATCATTAAAGCAACAAAGAGTTTATATTGTGTTTTTCTGGTAATATGATCCCATTACTGTCCACCCAAAATGAGTTTCAACTGCTACCAAATCATCAACTTTCTCTATTGTACCTGTTGCGAGTTGACCATGAATATCTGCTTCGAGAAGTAAACTGATTTTTTCATTTTTTGTTTGAGTATCAGATATGATTATATTTTTCTCTTTCAACAAATTAATTATTCGAACATTTTCTAACCGTGGCACAAAACTGCATATTTTATTTTGTTCCCAAGCTGATAGTTCTAATTGAAAAGAATAATTCAAATCCCCAATAGTGACATTATATAGAGTATGGGATTCAGGAGAAGATTGTTTTCCGCCGAAAACGAGTTATATAATGATTTCCTCTCGAATTTTCCTTAAATTCATCATTTTGGCACAGTTAGAAGTAATATAGGAACGTTGTGATGCGGAATCTAGTAAGGCTCTAACAATTTTTATACCTGATTCACTATAAAAATTCACAGTTATGGTTTGTAAAAGAGTACCTGTAGTATTGTTACTGATCATGACATTTTTTATATTGCTACTTTCAGGGGTAGTGGAAATTTCCGTAGGTATAGAATGCTTGGATGGTTCAATAGATAAATCACCATATAATATAGGATTATGCCTTTTTTGAAACAATTTCTTTTCTTTCTTCAACAGAAAATGACCTAGCTTTGATGCAATCTTGGCTTGAATGAGATTTACCTTCGCAAAATAAACAAATTGGAGCTTTCTTACCATGTTTTTCTGTCGAAAAAATGGTGGCAGCTGTGTAAACACTAGGCTCACCTCAGGTGTATTCAATTTTCTCAGTACATGGCTTACTTTTCGTCCAATTCTTTGTGTTCTTTTCAACAGCAAAACTGGTTTTGGCTAGACTAATGCGTTCTTCACTTTCCACTTTGGAACGGAGAAAATTTAATGAAGTATTTAAACAATTAATAGATTTATCTGTACTAGAACCCAAATTATTGGCTTTGATATTGCTCCTGTGTCTCTCCCAAGCTCTTAGAACATCTTCTGGAAGGGCAGATTCGGCTAGTGGAAACAACATAGCAGCATATTTATCACTAGTTACTCCTAACGACTCTAAAGCTCTCAATTGTGTCTCTAATTTGTCGAATAATGACATACCTGATTTGTTATTGGTGGCCTGTTTCAATACCAAATTCAACAGTTCCCTGACGTAAACCTCTATAAGAAATTCGTCTTGCAGCAATCATTACCTGATTCAGCGCTGCTATAGGTACAGGAAAACTAATAGTGTATGAAATTTCAAAACAGCATAAGTTTCATCCATCCGAAAACCAAATGGAGATGACCCAGATATTGAATACTGTAGTTTTATAAAACATGAAACATTCAATTGGCATACAATCCAACTATCTCCATCAAATATGTTTCAGTGATGAAGCGTTTTTTAATAGACACAACTGCCGATATTGGAGTGATCACAATCATCGGTGGATTGGAGAACCCCGAATACAAACTCCTGAGAAATTGAACGTTTGGGCCGGAAAGTACGCCCTTGTGCATAGAGTCTCATTAAAAGATCTCCAAAAAATAAATAAAGGGTAATTTTTTTTGTGAATAATACCGAATATTTGTGCATCAAATACAAAACACATTCACTACAGGAAAATCCTTTAGTCGCTCCAAGAGCGGTGCCTATACGAAAGTAGCGATTCACGTTGGATTTGAATTGCTGGAGATTAAATCCATTTGGAAAAACGTTCTCAGGAAGTTTATTCAGCATAACCGCAGTTCTCCAAAAGAAAGATATCTCAAGCAGTGAAGTTCTAGGTGTACTGAGTTGAGCCTCGAAACGATGAGCAGCCACAGTCCATCGCGTATTTCCGATATGTACCGCTCTTGGTGGAATCAAATGTACCAAGTCACTTGAACACCTCTCGTGGATAGATCTGTAAAACATTGATAAATCTCCAACCTTTATTCGATTCGATATTCCAGACTATCAAGGTTGCAAGTGATGTTCGTGTCTTCAATCAGGTGGATGGCTCGTTTGAGGATGGAATCCAGCAGCTTCAGGGTATGTTTGGGAGCGGAGCTCCTTACATGAGAACGATACTCCAAAGAAGGTCTGATCTGAGCTTTATAAAGCATCAAAAGTTGCTGGGGTGTGTACAGTTTTCATTCGAAACAGCCTTGGCAATTCCAGCCAAGACAAATTGATGATATATCCAGTTTAGAGACATTTATCTTTTTGGAGAAAACTGATGCATGGGTTTTCATGGCATCGAACTGAACCTGGTTACTTCCACCCCAATTCAAAATCACCTCTAGATCTTCATTAAGATGTGCAGCATCCTGCTACAGCCGATGTCCTGGAATACAAATGGAATGACAGACAAGTCTACTGTGACTTCAAAAGCATAAGTTGATGGGCTGAAACAAATATTTAGCCAGGGAAAATTTCGGAAATGGTCTTGAAAATCCTTCTACTCAGTAAGCTATGTAATGCCAAATTTTGCGCGGCTAAGATTGTTCCCCAACATTCATCGGTGATTCACTCAACACTGAAATGTGTTTATGGTCAGAAGTTTCAAATGGAGACCTTACGGTGACTGTGGAAATTTCTTGATTTGTTGTTAGGTATAGATCCAGAAGACGAGCATATTCTCCATCACCATCAAGAATCCTGGTTGGCTCACTCGTAATCTGATAAGTACGCTACTAACTGCGAAAGCCTCAGCTTCGCGATCTTGTTCGTCGTTGATATTTGAAAATTTGAGCCAGTCGATATTGTGGACATTGAAGTCACCAAATATGGAAATTTCGGCGCTGAAATGATTGATTGCAGAAAGTCAATGGTGTTTGCAAGTGAAGAGAATAGTGCCCTATATTGTGTATCGCTTAGTGATCGATAAACGCAGCATATCTAAATATTATAAATCGTATAGGTATTGCATATACTCTGGCTATTTAACATTAGCTTGCCTCTTTTATGTTTCATTTGTTGTGATAGTTATCAACTTTTTGGAATGTTTGTATTCTACACATTTCTACTAAATCAGTGTAATTCAAACCTACCTCCTTTTTTGTCCGAATGCCCAACGTAATCCATCAATGAATATGGCTGGTATTATTTGGTAAATCAAATTGGTCAAGAAAAACATATAAAAACAATTCGTGTACATGAAAGAAATAGGCCAAATATATGTTTCTGGTGGATTGTCAATTACAACGTCCACGTTTTTGTAACTGAATGACACCGATAGAAATGCATCCGATGCAACGTTACAAATCAACACATCTTGAATCTGTTTCCTGAAATTAAAAAAGAAACTATTGAAATAATCTATACAATTTCATCATCAGAAATGGATGAAATGAATTAATTCAAATAAAACGAATTTAATAATTCTTGATGTTTTCTTATGAAGTAATCAAATAATATCACGAATACTGGTCTCACACACTAGAACTACAAACTCTTCTAGACGAACGTTTTACCATTTAGGTTGGCGTCATCGGTATACAGTAAAGTTTATCTTCTGATGACGCCAACGTCTTCAGTGAAACGCACGACCAGAAGAGTGTTGTAGTTCTGGTGTGTCCGGCAATGTTCATATTGTATTCGTTTTGTGGCAGAGTTTTCAGTTCTTTCTTTCAGTAAACCAACAAAACTCAGTCGATATTTCCCATAACAACTACATGTAGCAGTTATTTTTTTTTGAAGTTGAAAGTAAATGTTTTCTGATTGCATGATTGATTTTGGGGGTATGAATACATAGTTTCAGTCGTACAGTTAATTAATTTGTATAAAATCTGGAAATAAGCACTAAGTAACTTACAGATCAAGAGTAACAGATACAAAATTTAATTATTTAAAATATTTGGGGCTAAGTATTTGGTCATTCGCTTAGTGTACCTTAATTTATAATTGTTATAATAACATCTTCATATGATAACTACTAGTTATCTAGTTCGCATGTAATTATTAGTCACTTTTTCTTTCAATTCTTAGGTAAAATAATAATGAAAGGGTATGGCATTGTTGTCGTTGTTTATAAGTAGATCTCATTTCAAAATTTTCAGATTCTTTTGGAAAGCCTGTCAATGTACCGGTCTTATTTCAAGCATTTCTTATTCATTTTTTGAACGTTCGCAAATCATTTTGAGTGACATTAAAATTATCTGGTTTACGAGACCGAACATGTGAAACATGCTCCATGAAAGAAGTTGATATACCCATAGTTCAGTGAATTCGACCAACATACTGTAATAATTATGAAGCCGCCCCTGACCGATACGCCAGCCGACTCATCGAACAAATACATGACCTCACCTCGAAAAAATGCAGTCTGAAACCGCCGGTAATATTCTAGTCTGGTACCGAACCGTCTACAGAATTCTCGAAAGGACCTTTACCGATATAAGCCCGATATTATAATTAGTGACACCAAACATATAGGAATCTTTTTTTTTCTTGTATTTGTAAAAATAAACATATACACGTAGATGAATGTCTTTCTAAGATAAAATTAAATTTATCATTAGGATGATACATTTTTCAATTATCAGCCAATTATCAGCCACCAGATAGAAGTGCATCATTGAGAGAAACACCATATCAATTGGCGGCAGCATTGAATACAATTCGGAGTTTATTTGATTTATTCCTGTTGGAGACACCAAACTAGGAAAGGTAGCAAGTTTTTGAACCCTCTATTTCCACTTCTTTCTATATTAGTCAACATACTTTCGGATGTTATCGCTATATTTTTTTTTGTAAATTCTGTACATTTCTGCATTTGTCTTTCTACACATAATAGGGGGAGGTGGGGGAATGGTGCGCACCTAAGCAAGGTTTGATCCTATTGCCACTGGATGAATATTAGAGAAATTGTGTGAATAGCAATAGAAAGCAATGTCAATATCAAGCAAGTAATATCATCAGAAATTCTGTAGTTGTAACGTAAATCACAAAAAAAATTCGATAGTACAAAAGTGCATTTGCGAAAGTATTTTTCTTTGGTGTAATATGTTGATAAGGAAGTAACTGTTTCGAAAGAGCTTTACTTCCAGTTTGTGCCTGGAAGTTTGAAAAAATCACATTCATCTGAAGACATTTATTGGAGACGAATAGTATTCGTAAAAATTATTTTCTGAGATATTCTTAACTGAATGCAACGTTAAAGGAACGAAACATCAATCCTCAAATCAAATTAATTTCATTATCTGAATAACGGAAAATGTCCACAAAAAGTACAATTAATAATGACATAATAGTCGAATATATGAAAAGAGTTTATGAATGAACTCGAACTTTTCAACAATTGTATTTTATTGTTAAAATCTGTCGTGCTTTGACATGAGAACGCAGAGCCAGAACCGAGTCACCCAACTTACGTGACGAGGCTAGATTCATTAAATGCATCTCGACGCATATTCTTTTTAATTTCTAATGAATCTCTACTATTCTGAATAAAATTACGATTCGAATCAAAATTGTTTCATCATACCAATAAGTTTCGATTGGGAAATGGATATTTCTGAATATCATATATAAATTGTTGGTGCTCGAAGTGGAGTTTGAATTGATGTATTATTGTGTTATTCTCGCTGATGTAAATCAGTGAAGTATGGCAATTCGTTTTTCATATCGGTCTCTTGTATCTGTTCATTGAATTGGTGAGTTTTATTCTATATTCATTTATGTAAAAGCATAACTACAAGGTTTTAATATTTGGTCATAATCATTTTTGAATATTTGATTCGATTGGTTCACTTTCATTAGGATAGTGAAAAGGTGAGACTGATACGAAAGTGGTCATTGAGACTCACGTATGATACAAATAATGACGCCTTTATGTTAATTTCATGTCTGCCAGTATCATCGAGATGAGTTTAATCGCTGTAGGAAAAAAATGTTTCATCGCTGTGAAATTCTGTTCTGGTTTTAATTTCTATTTCATGGGACTGAAGGAAATAATCGGGGCAGATAACAGCATGAAAGAGGTTCATTATTATTGAAAAGCAATGTGTCGATGAAAAATTATTTGCACTACATTTTGGAGGGCTTTGGGAGTCATCAGATATTAAGGTTGAATATAATTTGTTGAAAATTGTTGGTAGCGCACATTCAACTCACGATCATCTGTATAGAATTTCAACCCAAATTGGGTAAATCCTTATTGCCTATATGTCACTTCTCAGATGACCCTAATGACCTTGAGTCTCTCACCATGTTATTTTTCAGGTTATTCTAAATCGACAAAAATGACAGGACCTCTGAAAGTAATTCAAATCACATTGTCACATAATTCTAACGAAATATCAGCTTAGCAAATACTTTCCATTTCCACTACAGCAAAACAGATTCTTATGACTTCTCGGGTATTACCGGAGACTTATAGAATATTTCGGGAAGTTAACGAAACCTCTTACAGTGTTCTTTATCAAAAGGCACAAAAATCTTCCAGAACACCCAATTTATACAATGCTTTGAATATTGAAAAACACCACTCCCCAACTCACCAATTTTTATATACCCAGATTTTGATCAGCCACTCATTTCAACAATTGACGCAAGCAATTCTGCCCTAGGAGCCGTCCTGGTACAAAAGCCAATTGGGTCTGACAACCCAGTCGCACTCAGCGTGTCTGAACAAAATTATTCTACCATCAAAAAAGAGTTCCTGGCAATCCTGTGGACTATCGAATACTTCTGACCAGCAGAAAATTTAAAATTTCTACTGATGATGAATCGCTACAATGGTGCATGTCCCTCAAAGAATCCAACTCATGTCTGGTGAGGTATTACCTTACGATGTCATCGATGACATAAATAGATTAAACTTATTTCGTGACATAAAAAACGTAATTCATGAATGGATTTTGTGATTTTTCTTATAATGTTATCCAGATTGATACTGAAGAGTCCTAAGGCGAGTGTTTTACAGAGAAACATCGTTGTCTACCAGTGAGGATGCCAGTGTTCCATGTAAGTGAAATTTTTACCTTTCATTTATTATATTGTGTAGAAATTCTGTGAATGATATCTGATTTAATTCCATAACGAATATTTGGCATAAAAACTGAATAGAGAAAAGTGTTTATATTTATTTCGAAATAATTGTTATTTCGTGCAAATCAGCGATTATATGAAAGTAGGTATTTCAGGAGGGTTATTTCTTCCAGTTTGTGTCTGCAAGTTACTTCTTTGCATAACCTACACATCTATGTATAGAGTTACTTCTTCTAAAATTGGTTGCTTCCTTCCTTTCTTTTGAAGATTCCCACATTTTTTGTATCAAGATGGAGTAGTAGAAAGTCAAACACTTTCTTTCCCAAAAAATTGAGACTAGTTTCAGAGTTAGGAATTAGTGTCCTTCATCTGCTGAAGACGTCAACTTGGTGGGTATTGAAGAAGTTCTTGTGATTAGAAAAAGTTCTTAAATAGTGAAGTTTGAAGTGTACTGATTTGAATCTCGAAACGATGACCGTCGCGTATTTCTGATATGAACCGCTCATGGTGGAATCAAATGTGTCAAGTCACTTGAACAACTCCCGTGAAAGTATCTATAGAAAAGAGACAAATTCTCAGCCTTTCTTCGATGTTCCAGACTATCAAGGTTGCAAGTGATGTTTGCGTCTACAATCAGGCAGATGGCTCTTTTCTGGATGGAATCCAGCAGCTTCAGAGTATATTTAGCTCCATACATGAGAACAATATTACAAAAAAGGTCTGATCTGAGCTTTATAAAGCATCAAAAGTTGCTGAGGAGTGTACAGTTTTCTGGTTTGGAACAGTGATTCAAGCTTTTGAGAAGCAACCTTGGCAATTCCAGCGACATGATTGTGCCAAGACATATTTTAACCCCCAACAAACGTATCAAATTTCAGAATGTGATTACATCTAACCACATTTACAAAGTGCCAATTATATTTTCAATATACTTACTCGGTTGCTTTTTTCCAAGATGCCACAATCATTGATTTAACTACATTATCGACATAAACATAATCCAGCTTAACATCCGGGTCGCAGTAAACGGTTTTCAATAGACCTGTGAATGGGTTAATTCATTAGTGTTAAAGCAAAGTGGGAATATTTGTATTGAGGGAAGTTGAAAAATCGAATGAATATTAGTAATAAACGGGCAAAAAACTTCCGGAATACCTTTATGGTTTTGGTGTTGAACCTTTTATCGCCATGCATAATTCAGGGCAAACAAATACATGATACTTTACTTGTGATGCACTGTTTGGAACCTTTGGTGTAGTAATGGATATTACTGGAGTTTTATCCCAACACCAAACCGTTATTTCAACACCCCGACACAAGTATCTATCACCAAGTGATCATCTTCAAGAGGAAGATTAAACATCTTCAAGAGGAAGATTAAACATATCCCTCTTGAAGATGATCACTTGGTGATCGAAACACGTGTCAAGGTGTTAAAATGACGGTTTGGTTTTGGGATAAAACTCCAGTAATATTCACGTGATAATTTGTTAATTTTCAGAGTTAGCTATTGACGAAACAGTGGCTTTGAACGTTGATTGTCAAATCTCAGTCAACACTAGCTGTTGCCCGTGACTTTATTCGAAAGTACCAGTTCTTGGAATCATACAGATTTTCTAACAGCAAAATATTCTCATGTATTTGCCTATGATTCATTCAAAAATTATTTCGAATATATTCAAGTAAAGTTTCAACTAAATCAACTGAACGGTATTTTCATAATATTGTTCGCAACAAATATTTGACACGATTCTTCAAATTAACATGACTTTTCCATCTTCAATTCGACATCAAATGTTTTAAACAAAGTTAGACGCAATAAAGCTCAAATCGGTCAATGAATTTTCGAGATTAGCACGACAAAACACACCAACAAATAAGCAGACAGCAATCAGGTAAACATTTATTATGTATTGATTAACCAGTAATGACGTTATTCAGAGTTCATGCTAGACGGTTATTTCTGAAAAAAATACAAAGGAGCATCTTTATCTCTACCGCATTATTTACCGAGGGTTTGTCGATATGATCAATTATCCTAACATATTTCCTACTAAAAGGACTGGAGAGGATACTGGACAGATACTACTAGTGCTTATCAAGCAGACAAATCGACGAATTCAGCATTATATTACCTTCTAGAGAATATCACCCAAAATTGTCCTGATCTTTATATCGAAGGTGCATTTGACAATGCACCACCTGAATATGTCAGGTCAGCCTTGCCTAAAAATGTCATATAATTTGCCATAACTGTCTGGATCTACTCCATGCTTTTGAACAAAACAATATAACTCTTTAAGATAAGGTCATTAGGTCTACCGTTACCACGAACTGCCCTCAGAGCGGAGTACTATACCTTCTGATAAAAAGTATGCTCGATGTCATCGATAAAAGAGAAATAGATCAGTTAGCTTGGGCAGATAATCTTGGAATTAATTGGCAACCTCCAAATCATTAGTGAACCGACAAAATAGACTAGATATATTAAAATTCTGGCCTGGATGGTGAAGAAACTGTTAATTTTTTAGCAAGGAAGGACACTGCAAGCGGTTTCATCGGACCCTAGCTTCAGTTTCAGTTTTCCGATTACAGCTGGGTTGTCCTATCTTGTCTAACGGTCTTACTTACAGGAAATGTTGTCTGAATCATCATTTGAAGAGACATGGACTGTCTGAAGACGGCTGTTTTTCAGAGTTGAGCACAGTTTCACTCTTGCCATCTGATCTGGAAGATCACTCACCAAATGAGCTAATGGGATTCGTTCTTATTTGGCCGAGTTTGTACACGTGTGAAATAATCCCAACCTAAATTCTCGCAGGTTGCAGTATACGGTCGAATATACTTACTCACTTTGGTTCAGAGTTTAGCACGGTTTCACTTTTGCCATCTGATCTGACCACCAAATGATCTGACACCAAATAAGCTAATTGGATTAGTTCTTATTTGGCCGAGTTCGTACAGGTGTGAAACAATCCCAACCTGAACTCCTGCAGGTTGCAGTATAGGGTCGAATATACTTCCTCACATTGGTTCAGAGTTCAGCACAGTTTTACTCTCGCCATCTGATCTGAAAGATCATTCACCAAATAAGCTAATCAGATTTATACTTATTTGGACGTGTTTGTTCACATGTGAAACAATCCCAACCTAAACTCTCGCAGGTTGCAGTATACGGTCGAATATACTTACTCACTTTGGTTCAGAGTTCAGCACAGTTTCACTTTTGCCATTTGATCTGAAAGATCATTCACCAAATAAGCTAATGGGATTAGTTCTAATTTGGCCGAGTTCGTACAGGTGTGAAACAATCCCAACCCAAACTTCTGCAGGTTGCAGTATAGGGTCGAATATACTTCCTCACATTGATTCAGAGTTTAGCACAGTTTGACTCTTGCCATCTGATCTGAAAGATCATTCACAAAATAAGCTAATTGGATTCGTGATTATTCGGTCGAGTTTGTACAAATGTGAAACAATCCCAAGCTAAACTCTCGCAGGTTGGAGTATAGAGTCGAATGTACTTACTCACTTTGTTTCAGAGTTTTGCACTATTTCACTTTTGTCATCTGATCTGAAAGATCACTCACCAAATAATCTAATCGGATTCGTACTTATTTGGCCAAGTTAGTACAGGTGTTAAACAATCCCAAGCTAAACTCTCACAGATTGGAGTATGGAGTCGAATGTACTTACTCACTTCGGTTCAGAGTTTTGCACGGTTTCACTTTTGCCATCTGATCTGAAAGATCACTCACCAAATAAGCTAATGGGATTCGTTCTTATTTGGCCAAGTTTGTTCATGTGTGAAACAATCCCAAGCTAAACTCTCGCAGGTTGGAGTATAGGGTCGAATGTATTTATTCACTTTGGTTCAGAGTTTAGCACAGCTTCACTTTCGCCATCTGATCTGAAAGATCACTCACCAAATGAGTTAATGGGATTCGTTCTTATTCAGCCGAGTTTGTACAAGTGTGAAACAATTCCAATCTAAACCCTCGCAGGTTGGAGTATAGGGTCGAATGTACTGACTCACTTTGGTTCAGAGTTTAGCACAGTTTCACTCTTGCGATCTGATCTGTGAGATCACTCACCAAATAAGCTAATCGGATTCGTACTTATTTTGCCGAGTTTGTACAAGTGTGAAACAATCCCAACCTAAACTCATGCGGGTTGCAGAATAGGATCGAATATACTTGCTCACTTTGGTCCCACCTATTGAGAGTTTGTGGAAATTGTGCAATGGGGGTTAAATGAAATGACATGTCACAATACAGGCTGATGAAAACTATGTGGATCAGTCAAGAAATGGCTCAGTTGAGGATTTCTAGAAGCGCTGCCGTTTGGATATTCCACTCTACATTCATAAACAATAGTAGGGAAGCCTAGATGGGATTTAAGACATAGGCAAATATTTTCGCAGTATTGTGTTCTTCAAACTTCACAATGCAAAACTATGAGTATATTTGAGTCCAAGTGGAAATAAGATCAAATTGTTTCACTTATTATATGGAAGGTGTCATGCACCGGGACAATTTTTCATATAGGTACGCTTATTTTTTGTCAAAAAACTCAAAAGTCACTATTCAAATATACGTTTTCTAATAATTCTAGATAGATTCCATTCCACAATGCCGAATACAATTATGACCTCCGGTAATAGTTGCCGAAGGCTACTGACACAAAAATCGAATTATAACGAACGGTGTGATTATCACTTTGTAGGGTTCGATGCCTATTCAAATAAATGCATGGGGATTGTAAATGTAAATTATTCAAGGCCATCGATCGCCACGATATCTGTACTTATTCATTCAATAAGGAGAGAACTCTCTAAAATGTACGGCCCATGGTAAAATGAACTGGACTTGCGCAAACAGTAACGGTTTCGATACGATTTGGTGCCTTCAACAAGTGATATTCATTTTGAAAAATTTAAATCATCGCCAATTATTTGATTTTTACTCTTAGTGATTTTTCATTGAGATACGTATACGAGTCAATTACAAAATTCTTAAATTTTTGACCTGAGTTATATTCGAATGTAAATTGAAGTAAACGGTCCTCCATCAAATATTTGATTTTGAGAGAGGAGTAAAGTACTCCAGCATTAAAAAATACATCTAGATTTGGAGTCATGGCCATCTAAGCGAAGTTTTATTTTTTCAGCCATTTGCTAAAACGATAAATAGACAGCATCCTGTATACGACGGTTCATTTTGAGAGCCTTTAATATTAAGAATTACACAACTATGCTGTTAACCACGGTCAATTTTTTTGAAGAGTAAAATAATTTTCAAAGTTTTTGGTGCAGTTATTTTTATTTTTTGTTAGACCGAAAATTACTCTAAATTATAATGTACTGTAACAAGAACTTGATATTCAATAATATTAAATCACAATACATCGAAATTAAATAGTTATTTCGGAACAAACTCATTGAATTTCTGGAGATTTTCTTGTCCAAAATAATTCTCCAAAATAATCTCCAGAAAATCAATGAGTTTGTTCCGAAATACCCTTTTTATTTTGATGTTTTGTGATTTGATATTATTGAATATTGAGTTCTTGCATAATTCTGAGTAATTTTCGGTGTTAACAAAAAATAAAAATAATTTCGCACCAAAAACTTCGAAAATTATGTTACCCTTCAAAAAAATTGACCATGGTTAACACCATAGTTGTGTAATTTGTAATATTGCAGGATTCAAAAATAAACCCTCTATTTATCGTTTTAGCAATTTTTTTCGTAGTCCCCTTTTAAAAAAATGAGTAAAAAAATAAAACTCCACTCAGATGGCCATGACTTCAAATCTAGATGTATTTTTCAATGCTGAACAACTTTTCTAAATAACATTTTTCGAAATTTTTCAAAATGAGAGTAATTTTGTCTCAAAATCAATTATTTGAAGGTTCCTCGTATATTACGTGTAATTTACTGTATGTTGTTGGTGCATGTTCAGTTTCAGGGAATGCACAAACTTTTATCAAGAATAACTTTCTGTCGAAAAACCCTTAATAAATAAGTTTCTCATATGGTGCATACTTTGGGGATGACACTGTATAAAAAAAAACTGAAATTTTTGAAATTGTATTTTTGCTGTATCTTCTTTATTAGAGATATTGTGAATCTAGCACCCTCAACTTCGAAATATAAAAGTAATTTTTTTAAGTTGAAGTTGAAGTTTATTTGATATTTCCGAGAGTTTCGATAATTTAGTCATAGTCAAATAAATCACCTCACAATTTTCTTCTTACCTTTAGCTCCTGCGACATTAAATCCAAATGGTCCGTTAAAGTTATCTATCCATCCCACCACGGGTTCAAGTATACTTGGCATAACTGAAAAAAATGGTATTGCAAACATTTCAAAATAATATTGGTGTATGATTCTAAAATTCAATAATTTCAAAATAATCTGCTCTCATTGCTCATTCCCATATTGATTTCAATTTAAGAGCCACCGGTATACAGCTGTTTCAGCCTATTGGGCATCGTCAGTACCGGGCAGGCGGTCCTCGATTGAAGACAAAATGAGAAAAAACCAAGAAAGTACTTGATAAAAATAGCTGTAAGTGCTGACTCTCGATGCGCGTTTTGCTAACCAAGTTAGTATCATCAGGAGATGACTAAGACTAGGTACTCCTTCTCGTTATGAGCTATGTTGAAGTCAACCCCTCTATATACATTCATCATGACTACTTCATTTTCATCGGAAATGTATTTAATTCTTGAGAAAAATATGAATAGTCAATAAATAGAAGCAACAAAGTCTTTTTTATTCAGTGCTGCAAAAAACAAGTAACAAAATGAAAACAAACAATTGTAATACGCACAAATTCACATTGGATATTCCAACAATCTTACATTTTGAGTTATGCATAAATGTAGTATATCAACAATTTTCGTTCGAATTTCAACTATATTTGATCTAGTATAGACCAAAAAATCAGATCCTATTCTTAATGTCTTCTGGTATCGTTAGTATCTACAATCGTCAATTTCAATGCATATTGTAGAAATGCAAACCGTGAATCCTATTCTATCGCAAAGGATTACCAAAGAAGCATTTTGTCTGAGGTAGCCAAAATGTTTGATCCACTAGGATTACTAGCACCTGTTATTATACAGGCCAAGATCATTTTGCAAAACTTTTGGAATTATAAGCTTGACTGGGACGAGTCTTTACCTACCAATCTACATAGTGAATAGAAAAGTTATTGTGATCAACTACCAGCTCTTGATTTGATATCATTTCCACGTACTATTGTTACTCCGGATGTAAAGGAAATGCAATTACATGGATTTGCCGATGCAAGTGAGAAGGCGTATGTAGCCTGTATTTATCTACGTACTGTTGACGTAAAGGATAATATCAGAACACAATTATTATGTATCAAATCCCATTTCGCGCCTATCAAAACCGTAACAATACTGAGTTTAGAACTTTGTGGAGCTTAGCTATTGACTACATTAATGAAGACCGTGAAGAATGGTCTCCAGGAAGAGATGAAAACTTTGGACCGACTCTACCTTTGTATTACATTGGATCCAAACTTACCCGCAATAGTTGAAAACCTTTGTCGCCCACAGAGTAGCGGAAATACAAACTAACTATCCGATAAAATATTGACGGCATGTATCGAAACACGACAATCCCGCATACCTTGTATCGAGAGGAGTATCACCCATAGACTTCCCAACCTCAACATTATGGGTAATGGACATATTTGGTTGGACAAAGAAGGCATAATGAGAGTCGAGGGGCATCTGAACCTTTCTAATTTGCCTTATGATGCTAAGCACCCTATCATGTTACCAAAAAACAATCATGTAACCAATCTTTTCACTATATATTTTCACAAGACTTGCATTGTGGCGTTCACCAAACTATGTATACCATACGTCGTAAATATTGGATCATTGACGGGTGTAGCCTGGTATACAAAATCATAACTAATTATATCATGGGTGAACTTTCACATGCTCGTGTAAATATTGCAAAGCCGCTTAATCAAGTTGGTGTTGATTATTGCGGACCATTTTTATTGAAAAGAAATTCCGCAACCGAACGTCAATAAAGGCGTATGTCGCTGTATTTGTATGTCTTAATGTCAAAGCCATACACTTAGAATTAGTCGCCGACCTCACCTAAGATGGTTTTTTGTCAGCCTTACGGAGATTCATCTCTCGTCGTGGTTTATGTCAAGATATCTACAGCGATAACGGCACAAATTTTATTGGGGCCAATAACACATTAAAGGAGTCCATAGAAAATATAAATGAACTCAAGGCACAAAACCAAATCCAAGGTTTCCTGAGTGATAAAGGAATACAATGACATGTCAGCCCTCCACAGGCTCCGCACGTCGGCGGACTATGGGAAGCTGCTGTCAAAAGTTTTAAAAGACATTTATACAAGGTCGCAAGGCATGATAGGTTGTTCACATATGAGCAATTCAATACCTCAATTATTGAGAAAGAAGGTATATTGAATTTCCGACCATTGACCACTATTTCCTCTGATCCTAACGATCCTATCGCTCTTTCTCCCGGCCATTTTTAGTAGGTAACTCTTTGACCACTTACCGAGTTATGAGTACTCGAAAAACCCTAACAACCAATTATCTCATCAGAAACATTGTGCAGGACTCTCTCGTTCCATTACATGAAGATAATGTACCACCAGCTCAATGGGTAATGGGCAGAATCATCGAGTGTTATTCTGGTTCAGATGGTGTCGTGCGTACTGTGTTAGTGAAAACCACTAAATCCACATTCGTAAGGAATGTCAAACGTATAGCGATATTACCTATGGCAACTCTTAGCTGTGAAACAAAAAATTAGAGACATTAAGTTATTGATCGTAGCCTCTCAACGGGATGAGTATGTTCAAACGTATTAGTCTTTTTTACATAATTTTAAGGATTTTATAATTTTTTATAATTAAAAAAACAATATGGTTGACAGTTCACAGTGATCTGGGGCTAGATCTGGATCTAGAGGGCGAAACTTTTAGTTCTCCGAAATGACGCTCTTCAGGTAGAAATGGAAACCTCCTTAACGAATGGGAAATATAAAACTAGCACATCATATAAGTTAACTGGTCATTGCACAATGATCCAAACTGTTTGGGTTTTTTTCCGTTCCAGACTATTCTCAAACATTTCACAATATTCCGGAACATTCCAAAATTACTGAAATGTTACGAAATGCTTCACAACCTTCAATCTTCAGAAGCATATCCTTCAGATAGGAACGGAAACCTTCTCAAACGATAAACTAATATGACACATGACAAAACAAACTACCGCTAGGTAATAACTTTTCTTTCTACTCCACTATTCATTGTCATGTTGTAGTATCCCTTATTTCCATTTGAGGTAGAAATTTTGTTTCATCTTTTCCGTTGATCATTAAATCGTGAAATTCTTTTTTTATATTCGATTTCTTGATACCAGTCAACTTACCAATAGAGGGTCTTATGATAACGGCAGGAATTTTGTTTTTGCAGAGATCAGCAACAAGTAATTCGGCAACTGATTTTGTGAAGGTGTATGTGTTCGGAAGTGGATGAATAAATTTTTGTGTCATTACTTCAATAATCGTGTCGTCGCAGTTTTCAGCCAAAGCAATGGTGTCACGCCAATCATGTCTCGGGTATAATTTCTCCTCCAAAACCATATGATCGGCATTAGCATAAAGAGTAGAAACATGAACAAATACTTCTAGAGATTTCATTTCTAAAGCCAAGGTTATAATTTCTCGTGCACTTCTTACATTAGAGAGGATGGCGTCTTTAAGATGATCATCAAATCTTACAGAAGCTGCGGAATGATACACAATATTGACATTTTCGATTAGACGTTTACGGTCCTGCTCGCTGATTCCTAGAATGAAAATAACATTCTACTTTGCAACAGAAAAAAAGGTATTTCATTAAATTTTATTAGAAGACCAAATGTATATAATATATTTATTGAACTCCTTCCGAACCGTTCTCGATGTAAAAGTTTTATATCAACTTTTATGGAATTTGAAATTTTGATTGATGATGTTCGTGTTTTAGCTTCTTACAACTTAAAATAATTAACGGTAGAGAATACACAAGATAAAAAAAAGATTCTCACTATTTTGTATTAAGATGGAGAAGTACAAAGTCACATTTCTTCCCCAATAATGAATCTCTCCTTAAAAAATACCTCTTTTAAATCAAACTATCGGTCATCTTCAAATGTGATAAAGAAAAGGAAAATGAATTTTCTGAATAAGAATAATAACTCAAACACTAATTTACAATTTAGTAATATGGTTTTTCTGATCAACAAATGGATATTGATTTCAGTGTCATCAACAGCAACAATCATTTTCAGCGAGTGTATCTCCCAAGTAATTCTTCTCATCGTAAACGATAGTCAATCTCCTAAGGAGATCGATTCATTTCTCAACTCTTTATGAAACTAAAATTTACGATTACTATTTATGATTATTCAAACTCCCAGAAGCTACGTTCGTTTCGATACGACAATTTTTGGGCTCAACTAATGCAGCAACTTGTTTTTCAAACAAATTTTCATTCTCGTATTACTCATATATTATATTCTACGTACCAAGATTTAGTTCTTTGATGTCTCCATTCACAGGAATTATTTTGTCGAGAAAATGTTCATTCTGTTTCCTTAATTCATCAAATAACTGTAAAAACGAAAACATAAATACATTATAACTGAAAGAACTAGCCAAATAAAAACAAAGGAAGATATACTACTCGTACTTGCAATTATTTGAAAATAGATTATTTTTAGGAGAGATGATTTCCTATATACCTGCCGTTTTTTCTTTCATGTGGTAACATTGCTGTATTCTAAACCATAACAGATACGAAGACGATTAAATGGGAAAAAAGGTAACTGTTATCGGGAACAATAAAATGGTCGAAGAAAACTTATGGGGACTCTCGCCCTTCTCGAGTTATACGGGGAAAACAAAAAATGATGTTTATCTTTTTTTTCGAATGGAATTGTTATTTCAGAGAATATCAAAAAATGGAAAAAAAATGTCATTGTATTCGAAGTGTACTATGACGATATTTAAAAAAATCTGTTTTTCCGTTAATGTAATAATGAATTCGATAAAATGTTTCGTGTCAACATGGCCACCATCAACTTTTTTTAATACGGACCTGTCTTTTTCATTACAGATATACCATCATCAGTGACAACAATTTTAAATTACGGTCCTGACGTTACTTCTTTTGTAAATTGTTTCGATTTCTTCAAAATATAATTCAGACAACCCAATAAATTCGATAAGTAGGTACCCTAACACAATGAAAATCAGTACTTTTTCGTTTTGGAAATTTTTGTATTGCCATAATCCTTCTTTCAAGGCTTATTTCTCCCTAATCAATTATAATTCGAAATATTTTTATAATTCTCAATCCTGGAAATAACGAAAATATCAGTTTTTGGTCAAAATTCGATAGTTGTATAATTTGGTATGATCAAATAGCATCTCAATTCATTTACCATCTTGAACGCGTAGGTTTCTATGGCAGGAAACAAGAATGCGTTGTTGATATCTGTTGAGAACTGTCGGACGTTTATGAACAAATCAAAGATGGATTCCAATGATGAAAGGACTGATCTGCTATTTAGTTATGCCAAATCAAATAGAAATCCTCTTTTGGCAAGGAATATGTATGTTGAGCTATACCCGAATCGTCGTATTCCGAAGATACAAATGTTTAGACGATTAGAAAGAAAATTGAGGAACTATGGTGCATTTGACAGAGAGAAAACAAGAAATGTATGGTTACTGGAAGTATGAGTAATCAAATAAATGTTATGGGTAAGCAAATATTACCACAAAAAATTTACGCAGTGAAAACATTTTTTTTTAATTTAGGATTGCCAGTTACAAAACTTGTCCTAATCAAGATTGTTTTTTACGATAAATTTCCCACGAAATAGGTATTTCTGTAAAATCAACCAGAACTATTTTGAAAAAGAACAAATATGATCTGACCAGCTCGATGCCCAGATATTACTCCTTTAGATTTTTTGTGTGGGGATACATGAAGGATAGAGTTTTTTCAACACCAATCGACCATCTCAAACAAAAAATAAGAAGTGCATGTATTAGTATAACACCTATTATGCTGAAAAATTTACACAGAAATTGTCTGGACCGACAACTTATGTGCATTCAACAAAGAGGTCGTCAATTCGAGCATTTAATGTAAATTGCCATGTAGCTTTGATTTTCCTATTGGTTTCATTTTTCCCAAAAGCTCATGATAAAATAAATTGTTTTTCTGTTATTCTGTTAAACGTGATTTCAAATGAAACACCATAAAAATATCAATTGTGATATACCCTTGGATTGTGAATGTATCGCTTTATCAATGTATGTAACAAAAAATACAGGCCCGTATTACAAAAAAAGTTGATGGTGGCCATGTTGACACGAAACGTTTTATAGAATATTTATTATTACATCGTCATAGTACACTTCGAATACAATAACATTTTCGTTTTCCATTTTTTGATATTTTCCGAAATAACAATTCAATTCGAAAAAAACGAAAAACAGCATTTTTTTCCCTTATAACTCGAGAAGGGCGAGAGTCCCCTTGAATTCTTCGACCATTGAATTGCTCCCGATGACAGTAACCTTTTTCCCATTTAATCGTTTTCGTATCTGTTACGGTTTAGAATATAGCAATGTTACCACATGATGAAAGAAACGGCCTGTATAGCCATGAGCCAGCTGTAAGGTACAAACATGATAATACACACTGACATTTTTTATTGAAGGACTATCTGAAGATATAACTGAATAATTGCGTCAACAGGGATCGGTGCAAAATGACTACATGGCTACTCACAGAACTTTGTCTACTCGGTTTATTATAAGGAAAAATGACGCACTGTATCACTGGAGGCAAAAGCAATTTATGTGCAAAGAAAATTATGTCCATATGATGAGCTTTCAACACAATGGGTTTGTTTCATGATTTTTCGTTTACAGTTCATTTGGTAGTAATTTCAAATTGCTCTCTAAATAGCGTTGTTTTCCCGTAATTAATTATTAAAAATAGGATTTTCTAGGCCCGTGACGTCACGGGACTAGTACCGCTTCTTGTTCGATTGACTAATAGGAACAATACAAATAATGAACATTGCCCAATTGTAAAACTCACGGAGCGTATGAACAGTTTCTGATTTATTCGTTATTCAAAGTAAAATCACACTCACTTCCGACAACTAAATCTAAGAAGAAAGTATAAGAAATGCATTGAAAGGGATGATTAATTATACATGGGATCCAAATAACACAAAACGCAATAAAAACGTAATTTTTTAAATATCTCCAGCAGTAGAGATTTTCATGTTGATATCACAGACATTTTAATAATAGAAGTGTATATGAATCCGTTAACGTTTAAATTCATGAGATAATTCTCCATATGAAATAAAATGTACTCGAAAATCATGATTCTAAATAGAATTTAACGAGCTATATTTTCAAATGGTTCTCGAAGGCTCATGAACCTTAATAAAATAAATCAATTATGCATTCATACCACCCTTAAAAAATATGATATTCAGCGTTATTTATTATATATTAGCAATATCGCCACCCTGTCAACTATCTCTCCTGAATGTATGAGACAAAATGCGCTGTTTCTGATGTTTCATAACTTCGTATTTTTGTTGAAATAATTGGCACTTGGCAACACCGCTGTAGAAACGATCAATTTTATTGGTCAACAGACACGCGGCCAATTCAAACTCTTGCTTCTCGAATTTTTCTTTTTTCTGCAAATATAAAGAAGTATTGGAACGATTAAGCTCGATAAGTGTAATACACCCCTAACACGATCAGTCTATAAGCAAACCAGTATTTTTTTCAATGGAATGCAAAACAAGCCCATTGTTGTAACGGGTGGTATGAAAAAATGGGACATGAGTTCTGCAGAAAACAGATTCAATAGGAAAAGAGATTAGAGCCAATTTCTTGAAAAGCAGAGCTCAAACACAACGTATTTATGATCCAACAGCAGACAGCGCTATCTTACCCCGGCATAGGTCTCATAAGTGGTGCTAGGCCGAACCACAAATGCATTACTGGACTCAACCCTCCTTTAAAACAAGCCTGAGGAAGGGCAATACCACTCTCCCCATTAAGATGCATCTATAGGATTGACATCCAACTCAATCCTTGAATATCAAAGATAAACGAGGCTACCTAATGCAATCCGTTGCAAAGGAAAGCTTCAACATCAACCGCCGATGATATTCTTTCCCTGTATTTCACTGCAAGGCAACTAGTTGAAAAAAAGAGAACAACAAAAAATGTGACCAAATACAACTGTCCTAGGTATGGACTACCACACCGTTAACGGCCATAGAGATCCTTCTAGATCTACCTCCTCTCCACATTTTTCTGGAGAGAGAGGCTAGATGGACTGCATATAGACTTGTGCACATTGCCAATTGAACGAATCAATTCAGTGCAGAGTGCAACAGACTGTTGGTTGACACTGGAAGTCACAGCATTCTGGAAATGACCTCTGACCTTATGCCTTCAACTGTCAATTACGAACTGCCTTATAAAGTATTATTTCTGAGTAAAGAAGACTGAATCCTCCGGGAGAAAGAAATATTAAGAGCAGATAGTTGTTAGTTCACAGATGTATCAAAAACACCTTTCGGTTCTGGTGCAGGTGTTTTCAGTCGCAGACCCAGGACAGAGATATCAACCTGTCTAGGAACCTATGCGACTGTATTTCAAGCGGAAATTTATGCTATTGAATTGTGTGCGGAGATATTGGAAGAATCCAACCTCATACACAAATCAATAAAAATATTCTCGGACAGTCAAGCGGCGTTGGAAGCTCTTTTCTCCTACCGAGCAACGTCTAAATTGGTAGCAAATTGCCAAAAACTACTCTCCTCGATAGGAAGACTTAACATACTGTCTCTGGTCTGGATTCGTGGCCATACTGGCCTGGAAGGCAATGAGGCTGCTGACTCACTTGCAAAGGAGGGTGCTGCAAGTAGCTTCATTGGACCAGAACCTGTCATGGTATCGCTTCAGGCGTTGGCAAACAGAAAATGAACAACTGGATGTCAAGAAAATTTATAGACTCCAGACAGAATCTTCACTCCAAGGCGTTTATTCACCCTTCGAAGCTTGATACCAAATAGTTGTTGGACTACAGTAGGGATTTACTACGATGTCTAAGAGGCCTTCTTACAGGTCATTGTCATTTGAATCATCAAATGCAGAGACTCGGACTGTCCGAAGACAGTGTGCGCCGCCTCTGTTTGGAAAATGATGAAACAGCAGAGCACATACTTTGCGCCTGCCCCGCTGAGGACCGAATCAGGTTTTTAGAGTTCGGCAGAGCCATACTCTTACCATCTGAACTGAAAGATCACTCACCATACAAAGTAATAAGCTTCGTTAAGAAGCTGGGTTTATTTGGTCGAGTGTGAATAGGTGTGAGCCACAATATACCTTTGCGGGTTTGGACCTAACCTAACCTAGGTATGGACACATAGGGTCTGTAGATTTTAAATTTCAGAAAGGGTTGCATAAAGCAACCAAAGCGTTGCTTCATCATTGTAGAAAAAGCGTTTATAACTGGTACAGAAGCGACAAATATTGAAACAAATTGAATGCAGTGAACAGACAGGAATAATATTTGGATATGTGCAATAACAAATCCAAATTTACCATTTTCCACAAAAAAGGGGATCAAAAAATTTTCTGAAAATGGATCTCCTGAATAAAATGTGATGGAGATATGATGAATTCGAAAATAGTTGAAAATATGGATAATACTCACTGGAACATTAGTCAAATCTCTAATCCTTTCTTCTATACTCCTATTTCTTTTTGGTCTGAGTACCATGTAAATATTTTTCAAATCCGGACAAGACCTCAGCAATTTTTCAATGAGCACTCTACCTAAGAAACCACTACCACCGGTGATGAAAATACTTTTTCCGCTGAAATATTGAGGAATTGGTATATTCCGATTCAACTGAGGATGAGGCATTTTAAGAAGTGTTACGTTTCTCGCCCTAGAACTGAATGGAATCAAACGGAATGCACAATAACAATCTTATTTGAGTTCACTTCGATATTCTGATTGACATTCATTTATTATAATTTCAATGATGTAAACTATGACAGTACAATATTGAATGTAAGGAACTACGGGGCCTATGTATTTCAATCTAGAAAGTTTATAAAAACAGTTTTTCATTTCTTTTTTTGAACTTTCTATTAGGTAGATATTTAGATACCACAGAAATTGAATTGTATAGTCACGCAATATAATGCGAGAAAAGTCCACGAAACAGTCAAGTTTTCTGTTTGGACAACGTCAGTGAAATGTTTTTATTCTATTGATTTTGTTATAAACAATATATCATTTCCGCAATATGTAGCATATCGAAATATCGTCTTAACATTAGCGCACCCAGTGGGATATTGCCCCCAAGACAAACAAATATTCCAAGGAATGATGATATTCACAATTGACAAAATGTCTAAAAACGGAATATTCTTCGAAAAACTAACTTTTCTAGAAAATCTCCGAATCAATTATGAAATGAATATGGATTCTGCAGAAGTTCTACAAGTATGAATTCATCAGCAAGGAAAATACTTTCATTTAGATCTATATTCATTTTATCAGTGTCAGTGATATTTTTTGTGATGAATTTCTTTGTGGAGTTTTTTGTTTCACACATTTTATAACCTGATTAACTAACGGTTGAATAAATTACATGAAAAATTGCGTGATAACTCAAACAATGGCAATTTAAAAAGCCAATTTGAGGGATACCGCAATAAACTAAATGAGATGATCCAACGGACCAACACTAAAATCAATAAACTGAAGGGTTACTCAAACAAAATCTGCCAAACGCATATACCCTAATATAATAAAATGTATCAAAACAAACAAACCAAATACAAGAAGCATGAGAGGAAATTTGGCCTGGTCAATCTTCAACAAAAAAAGATTTGAAGAAACAAGACTAACTAACTAACAAGTAAATCACCAAGCCTTGACAATATTAGATTAGAAACGCTGATACAATTCGTTAACTATCTTTCTGAAACCATCACTCATATTATAAACAAACCCATGATCTCGATTATTTTTCCAGTTGCCTTAAAATCTTCATCATCAAACCGATCAAATCCGGAAATGCAAATCCGTAATAGCAAGAAGCGACAAATATTTGAATATCGAATTATTATCGATATGGCTTTCGAGAGGCCAGTTCATCAGAAGATGTAATGTTTCACTTAATGAGAAAAAATTACGATTCGATGGATAACGATAAATCAAGTCTGTATGTCTTTGTTGATCTAGCTTTCGATATGGTTTGACATGCGAAATTGATAAAAGTAATAGAAAATATAGGCTTCAGATAAACATCGTTGAGATATTTTGAAATTATCTCTCCAATAGAAGCAGTAACAATTTGCCAAATTATACTTCTATGGTAATCGATAACGATAATGAAGCAATTATTTCAAATGTGAAAAAACAAATCTCTTAGAACAATTGTTGATGAAACTCTAAGATGGAAGCCCGCCGAATATAAGGCGAAAAAAATAAATTTGAGTTTTCAAAAACATTTTTGATATATTATAGTCACGAACATTGAAATCTAGTACAGTTCCATATCAAGTATGGAGAAATTGTTTGAGGGAAATATTACTGATAAACTCAGGGTTATTAACGTCTTTAAAACGCATAGGTATCTATATTCTGTCAGTCTTGTAATTTTTCATAAACAGCATGAAAAAATATCGCTTGCGGAACATCTGCACAATACCAGATTCAAGCAAAAAAGTTCAAGGAACTCAAAGCATCTATATCACGAAGTCAGGGATTCATTTCATATTTGTGTCCAATTGCCTATGAGGAAGTTCCATTCGAACTAAAGTCAATTACAAGTTTTACAAACAATTGAAAATATGGCTAATTAGTACCTACACCAATAGGTAAGATAAATTCCCTGTTGGAAAAAAGAGGAATGGTGAGGGAAGAAATTCTGCCCTTCAATTGGAAATAAATAATGTGAATGATATTTGATTTTTATTCCACAACGAATGTTTGAAATACGAACTGAGTAGAGAAAAGTATCTTCTGTATAATTCAGTGTGCATATAGAAGTATTTGTTTCAAAAGAATTTTTTCTTTCGTGTAATTCAATGTTTATATGAAAGTAGCTGTTTCAGGAGAACTTTCTTTCAGTTTGTGTCTGAAAGTTACTTCTTTGCATAATTTACACATCCATGAATAGAGTTACTTATTTTCAAACTGATTACTTTCTTCCTTTCTTTGGAAGATTCCCTCATCCTTTTTTGTATCAAGATGAAGTAGTAGAAAGCCAAAAACTTTCTTTCCCAAAAATTAATCACACCTAAAAATATAACCCCTTCAATTGAAATAAATGAATATTGAATATTACCGTAGTTCAATCCCAACACCAAACCGTTATTTTTAACACTTCGACACGTGTTCCAATCACCAAGTGATTATCTTCAAAAGGAAGATTAAACTAAGTAACATACAATATTGTTCTCATTTATACCCTAGATACCTTTGCTAGGTACATGTTTCCTTATCCACTAGTCTCAAATTAATTTTACCATATTGCCTTATCTAACTACCCGACTGTTAGATCTGATAATAAAATATTATTTCAGCAAGCTATATAGTATACTGTTAGGTATTGGACCACTGTCGTTATTCATAATTTCATTTTGTTTACTTATTTCTACACTCCCATAGACATCTAGATGCATGCTGTTGTTAACTTGTCTATATAATCTTGATGAACTAACGTCTATGGAATGATTTTGTTGCAAAATATGATCGGCGACTGCTGATTTTTCTGATCTTCCACATTTTTGGTGTGCTAACTATTCCTTATATCTTTTTTAAACATATCTTTCTGTCTGTCCATAATATTTTGCATCGCAGTCCTTACATTTAATTTCGTAAATTCCAGACTTCTCCGAATTCTCGACTTTTGGATTTGAATCTTGTCTTTTGGATTTCCTAGAAGACTGTAGTGTATGACTTGTTTTAAATTCCACCTCCATACCTATTTCCTTGAAAATCTTTCCAAAGTTCTTCGTATATTGGTGGTATGGAACTGAGATATATTTGCTTTGGTTTTCGTCTTTTCTAATAGTCGAGATTTCGATCATTCCTGACCTGAACATTTTCTTCCTCATAATAACATCAATAACCCCGAGAAATCGTTACTGTATTGTCCGTTTTGCTTTCGTGACCCTCTCATGTGTAAGAGGAAATGTCAAAAGACGATGTATTAGAAAATTCAACCCAGCACGTTCGTGCTGTCCGTAGTGATATGAACTGTCAGGTGTATACCTGTAAGTGCTTGTTTCCTTCCTGAATACATCGTATTCCAGCTTTTCCCATTGGCTCCTCGTTACCAAAACGTCAAGAAATGGGAAGTTGTCCGTTATTTTCTAACTTATACGTGAATTTTATTGATGGAAATCTGTTATTTGAAAAGTAAACAAAGTCCTCAATATTCGATTTTTTGTTATAAAATATCGCAAAAACATCATCCACAAACCTCAACCATATCCTAGGAAAATACTCTGATTTTTCTTTGGCTTCCATTTCGAATTTTTCCATGAACAGGTTTGCCAGGAAGGGGGACAAGGGGTTACCCATAGTCGTTCCCTCCTGTTGTTCATGAAAGCAACCTTCTACCTGGAAACGGTTTTGTTTCATACACAAATTAGTGAGAGAAACGAATTGATCAATTTCGTTATTGTTGAAATTATTTTTCTCTAGTATTTCCCGTATTGTAAGGTTTGTGAAATTCGGACGCTAGGAAATGAAGAACTGACATCGAAGAAAACCAAAATCCCACCTACTTGCAGAACGATGTTTTTGCATGTTGTATGAACTCTAAGGAGTTTTTGACACTGAAACATGGTTCCGCAATAGGCAAGCTTTCAAATTTCCAAGTTGGAAACTTGGAACTTACAAGTTTCCAACCCAACGGTGTCACAACTCCGTTGTTGCCTTCCAAAAATCCACAAACCGGGAATATTAATGCGCCCCATCGTGTCAGCTATTGGATCTCCTACCTTTTGAGAACGAGTTTTGGTATCAAAAATTTTTTAAAGTTCATATAACATACAAAAACATCGTTCTGTAAAAAGGTAAGATTTTGAGTGTCACTTCTTTATTTCCTAGCGTTCCAATTACGCAGACCTTACAATACCTCACGGAATTACTAGAGAATAAATATAGTTTAAAAAACTAAAAAACACGCTTTTTAGAGAACATCGAACTAGAAAGTTAAAACTATTTTTTATAACATACAAAAACATCGTTCTGTAAAAAGGTAAGATTTTGAGTGTCACTTCTTTATTTCCTAGCGTCCCAATTACGCAGACCTTACAATACCTCACGGAATTACTAGAGAATAAATATAGTTTAAAAAACTAAAAAACACTCTTTTTAGAGAACATCGAACTAGAAAGTTAAAACAATTTTTTTTTAAAATTACAAGACTAAGAAAGCCTTAGTATAAAGCCTGTGTATAAAAAATAGAGATTCTTTAAAAGGCTTTTAAGACGAAAATAACCCTGAGTTCATCAGTTATATTTACCCCGTACAATTTCTCCATATTTCTCCAGTAATAGTCATCACTTCACCAAAGGTTCCAACAGTGCATCACATGGAAATAAATACATATGCTATTCATAATTTATATGTGCAGTAAGTTGCGAGGCCAATATAAACACAGATTTGCACAAAACATTCCTATACTCGGAGAATCATGGACTGAAAATCAATCCAAATAAAACTTCGCCTTATGCATAGGGTCTCAAAGGCAAATTGTAGAAAGTCAGTGTAACTTTAGGCTCACTCTTGATAACGCACACATTGACTGGGTAGATGGTGCTAAAAATATTGGCGTAACTATAGATGGTTTTTTGTCTTTTCATGAACATGTGACAAACATTTTCAAAATATCATTCTTCAAACTCAAATCGCTATATGAATTCAAGTATCAGTTATCAGAAGAAAT